CAAAGTAGAGGGCAGCAATTGAAGCGAAGAGAAATCGTCGCTAAAACAACGACGTCGCGTGAGAAATCGAACAAAATGCCACGATAAATAATCGACGTCAATTGAAGAGCGGGGCCGGACGTGCGGTGAGATGAGATAGGCGCACACACGCAGAGCCATCGGAGAGGCATTGCTTCACGTTCCTTGTCTTGCTTATCGGCGTTTGAATTTGCGCCGACGTCCGACGATGCACCACACGTGGCGTGGATCCGGGACCCCCCCCACCCCCCGCTTCGTAGCGGCGCTTTCCGAGCGAGAAGATTGTTCGCCTTAATTTCTTCCCATAGAACAGCGCCGGGTTAATTTATTTAACTGGAGTGTTGTTTTAAAAACACGGAGAGGAAATGCCGCACGTGTTCTCTGGACCGGCGGTGGAGACCAACAGCAGCGGTGGCGTCAGTGGCGAGGTGTGGTAACGCGTGGGTACAGAGCTACCGTGATGGAGAAGCACACCGGACTTGCAATCCAGAGGTGTCTCCGGTTAGCTGCGATCTCGAAATGAAGTGTATCACCCCCCTCAAGCCCCCTCGCCCACCCAGCAGTAGGTCAGTTGACAGGTCGCGAGTAGCGGGGTGAAGTGTGGGTACTCGCATCTGTTCCCAGACGTCTGTCCAGAGTGGAAGAGGAGGCACATTACGCACCAGAGGGGCTTTCTGGAGCTCCTTCTCGAGAGGCCCCTTACGCTAGGAGTGGCGTGAGAAACCAATTGCACGGCTGCGTCTTTAACCTTGCAGAGTGGTGATGATGATGATTATTCTGCCCTTTACCCACCGAGTTTGGAGACTAATTTTCCTTTCAAGTACCTTTGGGGGAAAACTTGGCAGGACCCTCCTGAAAAAAGAGTCTTGAAACTCGCCGAGACTCTCTTGGGTATAAAGGAGCGGAATAATAAATAAATTATAGCAACTGATATGACGTGACGCGCCATGAGTGTCCCACCCCTGGTAAGGGGAGCGAAGGGTCCAAGGGCAAATCTGTGTGGGGTACAGCGAGTGAGAGGGGGTGGGGGGTATCTGGAGTCGGGGTTGTTTTCCAGGGTCAGGGTTGGTGGTGGAGGGGGGGGGGTAGCCTTGGCAAAGTGAGGCCAGGAGCTGTCATCACACACAGGCGCACTGTGTGCGCCGCCCCATTAGCGGTAATGTTATACAGCAGCAGCAACAGCAGCAGCAACAGCAGCAGCAATAACAGCAGCAGCAGGCGCTCATGCTGTACCTAGCTGGGAGGGGGAGGGCAGGAACAGTCGCTGATTCACTGGGTTCTCCATTTCGCGTTCTGAATATTTTCGGGCTCAGAACCGGTTCGGAACCACGCAGCACCCTCGCAAACGCTCGCAGATCGCCCGTGTCGCCTTCACAGACTGTTGGGCCACGTTGCTGTGAGCGAGCAGCACCTACGAAGGCCGGCACGGCGATGTTTACACGCTGCGCCGTGTCCTCATTTCAGGCTGAGTCAGCCTAGAGGATGCCCAAATCCGGTTAAAAAATCGTCACTGGTATTCGTCGTGAGCGGGAATCGAACCCGAGTCGGCGGGTTCGTAGCGCAGCGCGCTACCCACAGTCACACACTCGCAGGCAGCCACACACACCTGGAGAGACACCCCACCGCCCCCACCTCACCGCCCCCACCTCACCGCCCCCACCTCACCGCCCCCACCTCACCGCCCCCACCTCACCGCCCCCACCTCACCGCCCCCACCTCACCGCCCCCACCTCACCGCCCCCACCTCACCGCCCCCACCTCACCGCCCCCACCTCACCGCCCCCACCTCACCACCCCCACCAGCCCCGCCCTCACCTCACCACCTCCACCAGCCCCGCCCCCACCTCACCACCCCCACCAGCCCCGCCCTCACCTCACCACCTCCACCAGCCCCGCCCTCACCTCACCACCCCCACCAGCCCCGCCCTCACCACCCCCACCAGCCCCGCCCCCCACCTTGTTTGTTCTGTGGATTCCAGCTCCTCGTTAAACACGGCGGCGTTTGGCAAACTCGCCCCCACAAGGCCGCTCTGTTTCACGGCGCAGTGGCTCGCGGCGCTGAGCCAGCAGCACGCGTGGCGGCACAGGAAGAGAGCCACGCTGCCCCCCCCCATCTCCCTCCGCCTGATCCCCCCCCCCACTTCCCTGTGTTCCACCCACACCCCGCGCGGCGTCGTGGGCCCGCATCTCCATCGCCTCTCCTCGTGCCACTGACAACGTCTCAGCTCACTGGCCTCCTCCTTATCTCGGGCCCTGATTTGCGATTTCATCTAAATTCCGTTTGAAACTTTGCTTTGTTTCAAACTCAGCGCGCGGAACGGATCGTGTCGCGTTTGGGCCAGGTGCCCGAGGGGGAGTGAGGGGCGGGGTGGGGGGAGTTGGGAGTCGGAAGGGGCGGTAGGAACAGCCTGGGGCAGGGTGCCGTTCCCACGCCACCACGTGACCCGTGAATGGGAATGGCTGTCCACCCGACCACGTGCGAAGTCATTAGTATAATTGACTCTCACGAGGAATGGTGAGTGTCTCGTGATGTTGAATCAATGGATTTCACAATCTGGGATTCACAATCAACTGGCCTTTCTGATACCTGGGATTCACACTCACCTGGGATTCACACTCACCTGGGATTCACACTCACCTGGGATTCACACTCACCTGGGATTCACACTCACATGCTGGCCTCTCCAACACCTGGTGGCGCACAGGTTGCCCTCGCGCTGCTCAATGGGGGGGGGGGGGGGGGGCGAGTCGGGGTATCTTTGTCTCTCGTCAGGAGTGAGGTTTGCGCGCGCTCTGTAGGAGTGAGAGCGGGAGATGTCTGTGACATCTGTCACGCATTTGTGACTTCTCAAGTTCTCCCCCTCTCCCCCCACGCACCTCTCCCCCACTCCCACCTCCAACTGGATTTAGGGTCCCTGTCCGTGACCCCTATCGTGATGGGGGTCACGACCCCTCCCCCTCTCTGTCCATGACCCGTGGCAATCCCCGCGCCTCGCCGTGCTGGGTGGGGTCGAGGATTCGGAAACCCAGCGTGGAGCGGTGGCGCAGTGGTAAGCGCACTGGGATATGAACCTGGCGTCCCGAGTTGGATTCCCGAGTATGGCTAACATCATTGATGAGTGATGCCCCCCCCAACCGCCAGACCTCACCGCTTCACCAGCCTGCACTGGCCATCGTGGTGAAGTATGGTCAAACAACTCCTACGTGGCGTGGGGAGGCCTTCGTTCAGCAGTGGATCGTCACAGCGCTGGAAATGATGACGACGATGATTCCTGCATGTGAGCGTGGAAACTTAGAAAAGGAGGGGGTGGGGGTTAGGGCATTGCCACTCCACTCAATTTGTATACAGGAGGGGGGCGAGCCTAACACATAGGTTACTCCACGTGGGTCCCATTGGCTGCCCCATGTGGGTCCCCTTCTGCTGCACGTGGGTCCCCTTGGCTGCCCCACGTGGGTCCCCTTGGTTGCTCCACGTGGGTCCCATTGGCTGCTCCACGTGGGTCCCCTTCTGCTGCACGTGGGTCCCATTGGCTGCCCCACATGGGTCCCCTTTTGCTGCACGTAGGTCCCCTTGGCTGTTCCGCGTGGGCCCCTTTGGCTGCTGCTTCCCAGCTCTCCCTACTTCCACATTGTTTCCACGTGCTTCTTTCCGACATCCGCGCACGTCAGCGCAGTCCGCAAAGTGAGTCTCTCTCTCTGTGTTCTGTGTGAGTGATTCTCTGTGAGTCTCTCTCTCTCTGTTCTGTGTGAGTGATTCTATGTGAGTCTCTCTCTGTGTTCTGTGTGAGTGATTCTCTGTGAGTCTCTCTCTGTGTTCTGTGTGAGTGATTCTCTGTGAGTCTCTCTCTGTGTTCTGTGTGAGTGATTCTCTGTGAGTCTCTCTCTCTCTCTGTTCTGTGTGAGTGATTCTCTGTGAGTCTCTCTCTCTCTGTGTTCTGTGTGAGTGATTCTTTGTGAGTCTCTCTCTCTGTGTTCTGTGTGAGTAATTCTCTGAATCTCTCTCTCTGTGTTTGTGTGAGTGATTCACTGTGAGTCTCTGCCTCTCTCTATGTTCTGTGTGAGTGATTCTACGTGAGTCTCTCTCTCTGTTCTGTGTGAGTGATTCTCTGAATCTCTCTCTGTGTTCTGTGTGAGTGATTCTCTGAATCTCTCTCTGTGTTCTGTGTGAGTGATTCTACGTGAGTCTCTCTCCAGTCTGTGTGAGTGATTCTCCGTGACTCTATCTCTGTCTTCTCCGTGAGTCTCTCTCTCTGAGTCTCTCTCCCTCTGTTCTGTGTGAGTGATTCTCTGAGTCTCTCTCTCTGTGTTCTGTGTGAGTGATTCTCTGAGTCTCTCTGTGTTCTGTGTGAATGATTCTCTGAATCTCTCGCTCTCTGTGTTCTGTGTAAGTGATTCTCTGAGTCTCTCTCTGTGTTCTGTGTGAGTGATTCTCTGAGTCTCTCTGTGTTCTGTGTGAGTGATTCTCTGAATCTCTCGCTCTCTGTGTTCTGTGTGAGTGATTCTCTGAGTCTCTCTCTGTGTTCTGAGTGATTCTCCGTGACTCTATCTCTGTGTTCTCCGTGAGTCTCTCTCTGAGTCTCTCTCTGTGTTCTGTGTGAGTGATTCTCTGAGTCTCTTTCTGTGTTCTGAGTGATTCTCCGTGACTCTATCTGTCGTCTCCGTGAGTCTCTCTCTGAGTGTTCCTCGGCTGTGAGGCCGCACCCTCGAGTGCCGCTCCACGCTCCGCGTTCGCGTGACTGCGCGGCACTGTACCCGCTCATCACGTGACTGTTCAAACCCCCTCTCCACCACCGGGATGATCACAGAGAGAGGATCCCTCCCCTGCATCCCCCGAGCCCTCCACCACTCCCCCACCCTCCACCACTTCCCCACCCTCCACCACTCCCCCACCCTCCACCACTCCACCACTCCCCCACCCTCCACCACTCCCTCACCCTCCACCACTCCCCCACCCTCCACCACTCCCCCACCCACCACCACTCCCTCCACCCCCCTCTCCGGACGCCCCCGCCCCGAGTTGTGAACGCGATACGGAGCGGGCGGGTGCCTGCATCAGAGAGCTCCCCTTGGCCCCCTCCGCGACCCCGGACCCCGCCCGATGGGATCGAGAGCGGGGGAGGGGTCCGGTACGACCAGGGGGCGAGGGGGGGCTAGGCAACCCCTGATCGGGGGCACCGCCGGGGATGAGTGAGTGAGTGAGTGACCCCCCCCCCACTCCAAGTCTCCAGCCTCGCCGCGTCTGAGCCCCGTGGCGGCGCCGTGAATTTTACGACGCGCGCCGCAACGGCATCCGCGGCCGCTTTTGTCTCTCCAAGCCTCGCTGCTGTTTTTACGCGGCTCAAGTCGCCGAGGCGTTTGGAGCCGAGCAGGAGGAGGAGGAGCGGTGACGTGGAGATTCCCGCCCCGTTCCTCCTCCTCCCTCCTCGCTCCGTCCCGAATCAAGAAAACAGCTGCAGCAGCAGCGGCGGCCGCTTTGAGTGCGAATCGTGCGGCGGCGTCGCCTTTCCGTTTGTTTCTGGGAGAACCACCCCGAGCTGGGGATCCTGGACGGCCCCGGCAGCGGCAGCAGCAGCAGCAGGAGCCCGGGGCCCAGGGCGTCCCTCCGCCTTCACCCCGGCTCCATCCCGGACCTCGACTCTTTCGGCAGTCGCCCCTCGAGTCCGGCTTGCGCGGTGGCGTCGTCTCACCGCGTGGATTTGTGTCTGGAGGAAAGCGACGCCGAGCCGACGACCCCGAGCGGCTCCGCCAGCAGCAGCAGCAGCGGCAGAAGCCGCGACTCCGCGCCGCCTCCTCCTCGTGCCGGTGGCGCGACTCGAGGCGCGGCGCGCACGGAGCCCGCGGGGCCGGAGGTGGCCGCCGCGAGGATGGTGGGGCGGCTGAGTCTGCAGCCCGTGGCGGGGGAGCGCTTCGAGGCGGCCACGCGGCGCAGCCACGAGAGCCTCTTGCTCCTCGACAGCCCGGACTCGGGCCTCCCGCCCAGCCCCAGCCACCCGCTCGACTCCGCCACGGCCCCCCCACGCGCCGGCTCCGCCGCCGACGGGGGTCCCGCGGCGATTGGCGCTCGGGGCTCCCCGTTCTACGCGCCCAACGCCACGGGGCCGCTGCAACAGCAGCAGCAGCAGCATCGACTCCAGGAGCTCAATGAGTACCAGCAGCAGCAGCAGCAGCTTCAGAATGTCCACGGGCACCAGCATCTGCAGGATCAGCATCACCAGCACGTTGACGAGGAGCAGCAGCACCAGCGGCACTACCGTCGGGCAGACACCGCGTCTCCTCCTCTCCTCTCCTCCGTCGATGGCTTCGGGGACTTAGCGACGGCGCCGGCGCGCCGACCCGACTCGGGCTTCATGGGGGGGGGGCCCAGCCCCAGCCCCCCTCTGCGGGGACCCCCCCGCCCAGGGGTACTCGGGGTCGCGGAGGAGCCGCGGATCGGCGGCGGCGCCCCGGCGCGGGATCCGCAACTCGGCCGCCTGGTGGGTGGGGGCCTCCACGCCGTGACCCAGACTCATCAACATCATCAGCAGCATTGTCAGCAGCATCATCATCATCACCAATATCATCATCGTCGGCATCATAATCATCACCATCTATACAGGGTGGTCCATTTAGAGATACCCCAGTCTAAGAATATGGGGGGGGGGTGTTTAGAGAAAACAACAACAACAACAACCCCTCTTAGGTTGCGAGCTCGGGCGAGTTCACACGATTAATCCGGTCTAGGAGTTCAACTCTGGCGGGCTGAGTTGGAGCGGAGAAACACGCGCGCGACACCGCACGGCTTGCGCCCTCCAAGTCGCTGCTGTGAGCTTCGCGTCCCGGAGCTAACAGTGGTGGGGGGCGGGGGGGCGAGGGGGGGGGGCTGGTGGGTGCCCCCCCCCCCGAGCCCCCGACAGAAGCACCCCTCTGTCGCGCGGGGCGCGCTCGATGCGGGGCTCCGTTGTGACCCCTGCACCTAACGCCGCCGTGGAGACTTCTCGGGCCTGCCAGTTCATCTTCGCTCATATGCGAGTTCCAAGTCGAGTCGCGCCGCGCGCGCCTGATGATTGCTAAACACGCCCCGCGTGAACGCAGAGAGAGAGATCGAGGTGTGTGTGTGACACGTGTACACACACACACGCAGATGTTGATCTTCATTTGAAATCTCGTTCACGTACATCACGTGGGACAAAGGCAAAGGGTCACCCCCTTCCCCTCCCGTTGTGTTGTACGCGCCTGATGATTGCTAAACACGCCCCGCGTGACGTAGGGACCATGAGTGTGTGTGTGGAGGTGTGTGGAGTGAGACTGCCCATTGTCTCCCTCGCGTGACGTGTTGGCCTTCATAGGTGCGCGCAAACAACACTTGCCCCAACAGTCTTTTAAAGCTATACGGGGATACTTTGCCTCTGTGTGTTCTGTGTGTCAGTTTATAGTGAGCTTTAAGTGAGTAGTACCCGGTGCGGTGTGGACACATCGACACGCGAGGGACAAATACGGCCGGGAGTATTTCTCTCTCTCCACCCTACCCCTGTGCGCGTCGTACCGCTATCAGCACTTGCCCCAACAGTTCATGCAGGCAACACGGGGGACCTTTGTCCTTGGGACACGTGATGTAGAGAGCACGGGTTGAACTCAAGATCGATTTCCCCCGTGTTTATGTGTACACGTGTGTATGTGTATACCCCACACACAGCCTCCCGACGTTCCGAGGGACCTGTTTAGCAATCATCAGGCGTGTACAGCGCGTGAAGACTCGCATTTGAGCGGAGGCGATTCGATTAAATCTGACGCGCCGCCGTCGGTGGCGAGCGACGGGGTTTGGGGAAAACCGTGCAGCTTGTCGGGTGGTATTGGAGGGTTTCACACCGGCGAGGGGACCCCGTGTGTTTCAGGGGCCCCCAGTATCCCCTCGCCCACGGCGGCTGGAATCCCGGGGACTGAGCCCCCACACGCGTCGAGCGGGCGCCAGGTGTGGGGGCGGAAGTCATTTAACAGGGGTCGCATTCCTGGGCATTCACACGAGCCGCGTTTGACCTTACTACATGTGTTCCACCCAGCACCCCCTCGGACCCCCTTGGATCCCCTCGCCTCCCAAGGCCCCCTTTATTAGGAGAGGGGGGAGGAGGTCCCATTCTCATGGGGGTTCCACTCTTAAGGGGGTCCCACGCTCACGGGGAGCTGGGAATCCAGCGACGGGAGTGGATCCTTGCGGGAGCGCGGACTGGATCGCCGTGTTTGTATTTACAGCCGCCTTTGTTGATCCACTGCTGGATGAAGGCCTCTTCCCTCCACGCCGTGTCGGTCGCGGGGGTGGGATTGTTGGCCAAACTGGTTGTTGCGAGCTTTGTGACGGCTTTACGCCGAGGACCGGTTCAGAAATCACTCGCCGCTGCTGTTGCGAAGTGGAACCAATTCCACTGAGGAGCCTTGGACTGGGTCTTTGCTATTGCTGCGGCTGTTGCTACTGGTTCGGTCAGTCTCAGAGCTCAGTGGCTGGGTGGCTCGTGGTTTGGTTACTGTTAAAGGTGGGGCTAATGTTTTGCTCGCTAGCGTAGTTATGGTTATGTTCGCCGTTAGTATGGTTAGTACTCGTGGCTGGTTGACTCGTTATGGTTAGAGTAACAGGGCTGGTTAGTTGTAGCCCCACACACTCCTGGGCCCTCCTCCCCGTCTCTGTGTTCTGCACGTTCAGCTGCTGTGTGCGGTGTGGGTGGGGAGCGCTCGCGTCGCGACTTCACGCCAAGCTGGAGGGCTTTCACGACCAATATTACTCATAAGAAAGTGTTTTTGTCGTGTGTTAGATCGCGTAAATATAAATGTGTCGTTAGCCCGCCACCACCCGACACACCCAATCAGTAAGCTTGTGACGTAAACAAATCGTGCCAATTCGTTACTAGCGGTGTGTTGGAGAGTAAACCCACAACATTTACAATTTGAGTTCGACGTTTCGCCGCCGATTGCAACCTGCTTCGTCAGGCGATTCGCCAGAATTGTGAAGGAGTCTTCCTGTTTCGCTCTCCAAGAGAGTGAAGGTGATGTCATTATGAGACTATAACCTTACTAATTAGCGGGTTCATGACGCATCGTTATTGACGCCATCTCACCCCAAGTAAACTTTATTACGTCGCGCGACGTACCCGGCGATCCGAGTTCGATTCCCGCTCACGGCCACCAATACCAGTGGCGATTATCTGAATCGGTCCCGGGGCTCCCCTAGGTCGACTCGGCCTAAAACGAGTACCCCTGTGCTGTGTAAACATCGCCACTGGGGAAACAAAGGCGGCCGGGCGTGGTGCTGGTCACCCACCCCCTCGTGTGCCGTGCCGGCCTTCATAGGTGCTGCTCGCCAACAGCACTTGCCCCTACAGTCTGCTACAGGCGATGCGGGGGATCTTTATCTTTGTGTGTGCACCGCCTGGAGTAATTGAACCTAATGATGCGTTGTGGTGAAACGAGTACGAGACGGCGTCTTCTTGTTTCGCGCGTTAATAAGTCAGTCGTCAGGTGACATTCCTGCACCGTGTGGTGGTGGTGCGGGGGGCTTTGGTGGTGGGGGGGAATTGGAGATTTCCCAGGAATTCCTCCTGACAAGCGACGTCTGTGGGCTCGAGTGTCGCTCGACTCGCTGCGGCGAGGAGAGCGAAGAGAGAGGGGAGTTCTGTTTATGGGAGCGCGTGTTCGTGGTGGGGGCGCCGTGCCCGTCACTAATAGGTGCTCGCGAACAGCGCGTTGCCCCACCGACTCTGTGAGCCCTGTTTGTGTGTGCGCTACGTGTAAGTTTCTCTCTCGTGGGGTGTTCGTACATCGCGTTACGAACCCGGCGACCCGAGTTACGGTTTTTTTTATTCTCTCTCGGCGGCCACGGTCTGCATCGGTAGCGAGTGTTATTACGTGATCCGGACCGAGCTGGGCCTCCCCTAGGTCGACTCAGCATTAAATGGGTACTCGGTGCTGTATGTTCACATCAGCACGCCCCGTGACCCGCAGAGTGGTGTGGGGAGGGCTCTCATCCAGCAGTGGATTGACTCTGGGCTGTACATGTACATTATGGATAACGAGTCACAATACAACGACAATAGACAAGAAGTGTAGTGTCATTACTATGAGACGCAGTGATGGTAACAGTGCAATTGGACGGGACGGGTGTAAACTGTGAAGGAGTTTGTGTTTCGCCTTGGACCCCCCGTAATCATCATCAGCTCTGCTCTATCCACTGCTGGACGAAGGCCTTCGCAAGCCGTCTCAGGAGGATCTCACGATGGAGCAATCCACCGAACGGCTGCACAGGAGCCGATTCTCATCGCTCCATCTTTGGGGCGTGCTCCCTCCCCTGGCTGCTACTCCGTTGTTAGTCTCGACCGCCGGCACATTGCTCCTGCCGGGAGATTACATCTGGAACAGTCTGTGGTGGGGTGAAGTGTTGGCACGCCCACCTGTTCCCAGACGTTGGGCCAGCGTGGAAGAGTAGGCCAAAACACCCTCCTGATCAGGGGTCGGCAACCTGCGGCTCGTCATGGACTCTATCGTCACGGAATGTGTGTGTGTGTATTCACGTGCATTGCTGCTCTTGAAATCTTGAGTTTTGTACCCAATTTGAAACAAATTGATCTTCTTGTTAAATCGAGCCCCCTTCAGTGACGGCGTGAGCATTCACCTGCAGGGCTCCACCTTGACCCTTGTCCTGTAACTAGACAGCACTGAACCTGTTATTGTTGTTTGTCCACCACTGCCCTTAACGCGATGGTCGTTGTCGTGTGTGTCCCCGCCGCAGTTGCCGTACGTGACGCTGTGTGGGGGGTTTGGGGGGCCTGGAGGAAGTGGGGCTCCCCGCCTGGTGCCCAGCGACTACAGCGAGGGGGTGTGCGTGCAGGCCGGACCCCGCGCCACCAGCACGCGGTATATCGCACGCACCGTGCACACTCCGCCCGCGTACAGCCGCCACGGCGCTCGTGCCAGGCTATGTGCGCTTTGACGCACAATCAAGTGAAGTGTGGAAGGCTCGTTGCTTGCAGACCCAGCGGCTTGGCTTGACGGGCTTGCAGGTGCACCACCTGTGCTCCCCACTGCGCCACCTCGCTGCGTTTGATCCGCCCGGCGCCCCGTTCGTTGTTGGAGCGTCGCTCCTCCGCCCTCCGTCACAGAGGCCGATCTTGACACCGAAGGCACCGGTTATCTGCCAGTCCAATCAGCGTCACATCGTTCCATACCCATCAGCCCATCTCTCCTCCAGCCCGTGCCGCGCCCGTTAAGCCCCCTCTATTCGGCTAAACAGGAGCTGCCTGGGCATGCGGTGGCTGGGCATGCGGGCTACGTGACCCAGCCAACTCAGCCTCGCCTGCCGGAGCAGCTCAGTGATGGGACTGTGTCCAGATCTTTCAAGGATCTGTGAGCTCCTCACGCTGTTCTCCAGTCTGAGGCGTGGGTGGGTCAGGGTGGCTGCCCAGGACACAAAGCTGCATGGAGCGCTGAAACATTTTGTTATTATTACTACTACAGATAACTTATAATAATTAGTGCCCAATTTTACGGTTTTCTAAGAGTTAGCACTGTACTGTACTAACTCTCGGAATCCAAACGCTCGGAACGTGCATGAGCTGAGCAGTGGTGGCTGTGCACGTGGCTGCCTGCAAGCCAGCACTGTGTGGAGGCAGCGAGGGTCGGTGGATCACACAAACGTTGTGAAACATCCCGTGGGCGTCGAGGTTCTGTACCCTGGCTCGCCAGGAAAACGCAGTACAGCAAGTGGACTCATCACCATGTTTCCATCTGTACGGGGATCCAGCCTTGCCCCCCTCACGTGCGTGGATTTTCTCCGGGTGCTCCGGTTTCCTCCGCTGCAGAGACAGAGCGATGAAATGGGGTCACGTGCAGGCGCTGGACGGATTACTGCGTCGCGCGGTCGTAGGGGACGCCGACTGCTCGCGGAGACCTTAATCCAGCAGTGGATAGATCTTGGCTCACGGCGATATTGAAAGTGAAGCGAGAATCAAGCTCGGTCTGGGGCACCTGCTGCTTGGTGGCATCGGTGGTTATCGATGGCGGTGGGCTCACCGCGCGTGGCGGGGGAGCTGTAACGTGGCACGTGTTGGCCACATTTACCTCTCTCCACCGCCACCAGGCGCTGTGCAAACCGACACCGGCCCCGGCTGCGACTCGGCGTTCACACGAGCAGGCCGAGAGCCCCCCCCCTACCCCCCATCCCCCCTACCCCCTCATACCCCCCACCCCCCTTACCCCCCACCCCCCTACCCCCCTCACCCCCCCCCCACCCCCTACCCCCCTACTCAGCGCCAGCGAGCTGCCATAAAACACGAGAGCCGGTATTTTTATTGAGCCCGTTTCGGCAGCGAGCACAACCACGGGCGGCCGCGACGCGTGTGGCCGGCCTGGCCTGGCACAGCGTGGACGAACCGATTTAGACCGCGGCTAAGCAGGGCCGAGCCTGGAGACCGCTTGGGTGGCCACCGTCGCCTCGAGTTCTCTCTCTGCCCACCGGCGGCACGACTTGGGGCCGAGCTCCCTCCGTGTCCGATTTTTAGCTTCCGTCTTCAGTCCTCTCCACGCCCTCCCCCTTCCTTCCAGGGCTCCCTACCACGCCCCGTGTACCCTGTTGCCTTCCCCGTGTACCCTGTTGCCTTCCCCGTGTACCCTGTTGCCTTCCCCGTGTACCCTGTTGCCTTCCCCGTGTACCCTGTTGCCTTCCCCGTGTACCCTGTTGCCTTCCCCGTGTACCCTGTTGCCTTCCCCGTGTACCCTGTTGCCTTCCCCGTGTACCCTGTTGCCTTCCCCGTGTACCCTGTTGCCTTCCCCGTGTTGTGCGCGCCGCCCACAGGTGCTGCTCGGAGGTTCGCTTCGCGTGCGGGCGGCGCTACCGCGACGGCGTGGAGTGCGAGCCGGCGCTCGCCGTGGCCTCGTGCCGGCAGACGGTGGTGGCGCGGCCCAGCACCACGCGCCGCTCCTTCACCTCCGAGCTGTGCCTGGAGCCGCGGCAACGCGCGCAGCGCCACACCGCCACCGCCTTCGCCTTCCCCCGGCACGCGCGCCACCTCTTCCGCACCACCGTGACGAGCGGCGGTGGTGCCGCGGCGGTGGCATCGGGAGCCTCGTCGGCGGCACCGGCGGCGCAGGGCGCCGGCACGCGGTACACGAGCTGCGTGCGACTCCAGAGCCTGGCGCCGCCCAGCGTGGGCATCGTGTACCGAGAGGACGGGCGCGCCGGCACGTAGCGCGGTGCCAGACTTTGGCCGATCAGCACCGGCTGACCGGACCTTGGTGTGGGAAGGCGCTGGTCCCTGGCGTCCGGCCGGCACTCGCGAATCCCCCCGTTGTTTCGCGTCGGAGGTCGACTCGACTGGATGCAGGATGCCGCTGTGGGGCACGGCTGTGGGTGCCCACGTGACTCAGCTACGTCTCCAACCAGCCTCGGACTTGACAACCGGCGTGGCATTGGTCTCAGAGGTTTTTTTTGTGAATTTGATTGCTTATTATTATTTCCGCTTGTGAAAACCGCACCGGCTTTTCGTCTCGGTCGTAAATCTGTCGGCAAAACGTCACGGGCAGCGGCACGAGTGGTGGCGGCGCGGGAGGTGGCGGCGTCCCCGTTCCGTGCCGTCTGGAGTTGCACGTTCCGGGTGTGCCCGGTGCGGGCGTGACGCCGCCCAGCCGGCGCTTCATCTCTCGCTAAGGATTTTCCGGGTCGCTGGTGGACTGGGGTAGGTGGCACGTGACCAGCAGGAGCCACGGTGCTAGCGATAAGAGGCATACTGGATGCGGTGTGGTGTTGCCCAACCGGACAGACCTGACTGAAATCAATCCCTTGTCTCAACACCTGATACTCCGGTATTCTGGTTCCACAGTACACCAGGATCTTGATAACCATGTTACCCACAGAACTCGCGCTCGCTGAATTCCCACAACCCCAGCAGCGTGAGACCACGGAACCGCAAAACGGCGGCACGCTGGTACCCTGCCACCGCTACCACCCGCTACCATCACACGGATGGCTGCCCACCGCCCTGGCACACGTCACGACGATTGTCGCCTGGACTTCTGCCGAGCCGACACCAGGAGCGGCGGCGGCGGCGGCGGCGGCGGCGTCCGTGCCGGAACGGGGATCGCGGCGCCGGTGTCTGCAGAGATGGCGCTGAGATGGGGAGCGTGGCGGGGCGGCCAGGCCGTCACGGCCCCGGGGAGCCGCACAAAGACTTCGCTTCTGTGCGCCAGCGTGCGTGCGTGTGCACGCGCACTCGTGCAGACAAAGATGCACACGCCCACACGTGCGCACGCATGCATTCACGTATGAACGAGCACGTGTTCACGCGCACATACCTACGCACGCACATGTGATACGTTAACACAGACCTGCGTACGTTCACTCGTGTACGTGCGCATGGCGATCGTGGTTTTAATGGCAAAGTTCCTTGTCATGAACCCTCCCCCCCATCCGACGAGATTGTCCCATTTACAAAGACATCATTCATACACGTGCCAATCAATGTACTGCGGTCAAATTCTGACCGATACAGCTCTAGCTCCTCACCGCTGGCTTGAGACTCGTCACGGCTGAATTCAAGTAACAATATACATAACTTTGTAAGCGTGACAATCTGGTCGGGTGGTGGTTCGTGACTGACGAATAATGTTGGCATAAAAACGACCACCAAAAACAAACGTGGATCAAAGTGGAAGCAGAAGATGTCATGAGTCACGGCGAGACGACGCTTGTGCCGAGGAGACCGCCTGAAGTCTGCACTGCCCACACTGCTCGTACGTCATCATCATCATCTATTACTTGAGTCATCACGCCTCACGCAACTACAACGCAAGTTCAGAATCAGCGTCAGAACTGAGAAGCACGCTTTAAAGGCCTTTTCATATTCACAAAAGGCCTTTCCAAGACAACCAACGCCATCATACTCACTGCAGGGTGATGTTAGCCAAGCGTCGCTATGGGGACGGGCGTCGCTACGGGGACGGGCGTCGCTACGGGGACGGGCGTCGCTATGGGGACGGGCGTCGCTATGGGGACGGGCGTCGCTACGGTGAGGGGCGTCGCTACGGTGAGGGGCGTCGCTATGCGGACGGACGTCGCTATGGGAACGGGCGTCGCTATGGGAACGGCCGTCGCTACGGTGACGGGTGGTGATGGAGGCAGCGGCGCGAGGGCGGTGTCCGCCATCGCCGCGTGACGATGTCAAACGCGACAATTCACGCGGTGACGACAATAACAATCGTTAAAATAAACTATTCTGAGAAATAAAGAAACAGTTGAAGCGCTGCTGCTGCTGTGGCGGTTTTCGCGGTCGCCGCCCTACGTGGCCCTCCGACGGGTTTTCGGCGGTTCCGCCGCGAGTTCAGCACGATGTCCGACGTTTCGCTCCGCGTTCTGGGAGATTCAGTTTTACTTCCTGATGAAGTTCCCAGCAGTTGTTTTTGGTGTGTGGAGCCACGGCTCACTGGAGGACCTTGTATGTTTTGGCTCTCTTTGTGTTGGAAATTACGAACCACGACAAAGTATCTGAGGCACTCCCAGCACTTGAAGGCGGAACGTTGGACATCATCCGAACAACACGCGGCGGTAAACGCCGAACTCACACATCAGAGTTACAACATCTTCACACTTTCAGTACACACAGTACCATGAAGCATGCCAGCCACACACACACACGCACACCACCCACACACTACCACTACCACACACTACCACTATCACACTACCACACTTTCATTCAAACGGAGCGCTGTGTTCGTGTGATCTACGAGAGAAATTCCTCAGCGAACTACGACCGCTGCTCCGGGAGGGAAGTTCTTGGCCTAAATTTGGTGGTGGTGGTGGCTTTTTGTGGTCGAAAATGCTGAGGCCGAGAAATCTCTGGAATTCGCCGACATCTGGAAGAGATTTTTACCTGGGTGCGCGTGGGGGAGGGGTCGGCGTTGCGGGGGCTTTTCCTGAACCCCCCCAACCCCCAGCGCTCCCGCTCCCTCCCCACCACCACCACCACCCACCCACACACCCACGGGGCCCCCACAGCTGAGCACCCCCCATCAGACATCCCCACCACCCCCCAGCCTCTCCCCTCCTAACCACCACCTCCCTCCCACACCTCTCTCAACGTCGACCATGGAAGGGCCACAGCCCCATGCACAGCGAGAGGTATCCTGGGCGTGGTGTGCCGGGCCAGCCGGCCCCGGCGAGCTCGGCGGGGCGATGGTGCGAGTCTCGCGTGCGGGGCTCGAGGCCACGAGGAGCAGGCGAGGAGAGAGACGGCGCGGACCAAGTGGGGAGCCCCACCACGGCGACACAGACAAAGGTCCCCCGTGTAACCTTCACGGGCAGTAGGGGCAAGTGCTGTTTGCCAGCACCTAGGAAAGCCGACACGGCACTGTACTTGTTTAAACGTTGATCGATGAAAGGCCTCGGCGTTCAGATGTTCGCCACTGTTTATTGATCGTGAGCTGGACTCGAACTCGGGTGGCGGGGTTCAGAGCGCAGTGTGCTCGCCACTGCGCCACCGCTCCTCGAGCCGTCACTCACGCGGCTACACGGAGAGGCGCAGGGGACGAGTTGGACCCCGGGCACGGCCCATGGACTTCGCTGGCAACCCTCGAGAGAAGCCATTGGGCACGTGAGCGCGTGTATCCATTGCTATCCTACGAACCCCGACTGATCTGTCTACCCGGTGTTGTAGGCATAAAGTACAACACGCTGAGGGAAGACGCTCCCCGCAGTGGCCGACAGCTCAAGCGGCCCCTTGGGACAGAGGGGACCGCCTGCTGATCTTTGCTACAGAAGAGCGCTTTGCAGAGTTCAGCAGGAGAGAGTTGGGCATCATCATCATACATCATCATCATACAGCAGCATCATACAGCCGCAGCATCATACAGCATCATTATACAGCAGCATTATACAGCATCATACAGCAGCAGCATCATACAGCATCATCATACAGCAGCATCATACATCATCATCATACATCATCATCATACAGCATCATCATAATACAGCATCATCATACAGCAGCATCATACATCATCATCATACATCATTATCATAATACAGCATAATCATACAGCATCATACATCGTCATCATACAGCAGCAGCATCATCATCATGCATCATCATCATCATACAGCAGCATCATACAGCAGCATAATCATACAGCATCATACAGCAGCATCATACAGCATCATACAGCATCATCATACAGCATCATTATACAGCATCGTACATCATCATCATACATCGTCATCATACAGCAGCATCATACAGCAGCATCATCATACAGCATCATCATACAGCATCATACATCATCATACAGCATCATCATACAGCATCATACATCATCATACAGCATCATCATACAGCATCATACATCATCATACAGCATCATCATACAGCATCATACAGCATCATACATCATCATACAGCATCATACAGCATCATACATCATCATACAGCATCATCATACAGCATCATACAGCATCATACATCATCATACATCATCATACATCATCATACAGCATCATACAGCATCATACATCATCATACAGCATCATCATGCAGCATCATCATACAGCATCATACATCATCATACATCATCATACAGCATCATACAGCATCATACATCATCATACAGCATCATCATGCAGCATCATCATACAGCGTCATCATTGTAAGCAGCAGCATCATACAGCAGCATCATGAGCAGCTCCCCCCTCCCCCACGCATGGCCGGTACAGGTGTCGCTGCCATGGCCGGTACAGGTGTCGCCGCCATCCGCCAGCCGTGCCGCAGCCTCTACAGGTGGCGGGCAGCTGGCGGCCCTCGGATTGCGGCTCGGCCGGAAAGGCGCCGGCGAACGAGGATCTCACAGATGGCCCATCACGAACACCCATCAAGATCACGAATACCCATCAACATCATCACGCGTTCATCATCATCATCACGCGTTCACCATCACGAACACCCATCATCACCACCACCACCACGCGTTCATCATCACCACCACGCGTTCATCATCACCATCATGAACACCCATCATCACCACCACCACGCGTTCATCATCACCATCACGGACACCCATCACCATCATGAACACCCATCATCACCACCACCACGCGTTCATCATCACGGACACCCATCAACATCATCACGCGTTCACCATCACGAACACCCATCATCACCACCACGAGTTCATCATCACCATCACGAACACCCATCATCACCACCACGCGTTCATCATCACCATTACGAACACCCATCATCATGCATTCATCATCACCATCACCCGTTCACTCACCACGAATACCCATCACCATTGCCAATATCACCTATTCACTTATGAGTTCCCATCACCACAACCATCCGTTCACTCACCCCGAACACCTATTCTCACCATCACTCACCACTACGCCCATTCAACTCTAAAGATTCACCCACCACGCACACACAAATACAAAGATCCCCCATGTAGCCTTAGACTTTTGTAGCAAGTGCTGTTAGCGAGCACTTATGAAGGCCGGCACGGCACACGAGGGGGTGGGTGGCCAACACCACGCCCGGCCGCCTTTGTCTCCCCAGTGGAGATGTTTACACACTGCACCAGATACTCAGTTGAGGCTGAGTCAACCTAGGGGAGGCCCAAGACCGGTTCAGATAATCGTGACTGATGTTTGCTGTGAGCGGGAATCGAACTCGGGTCGCCGGGTTCACACACACACAATCACACCCACCACACACACACACACCATCACACCCACCACGCACACACACACCATCACACCCACCACGCACACACACACCATCACACCCACCACGCACACACCCACCACACACACACACACATATCATCACACCCACCACGCACACACGCACACACCATCACACACACCACACACACACACCATCACACCCACCACGCAGACACACACCTTCACACCCACCATGCACACACACACCATCACACCCACCACGCACACACACACCATCACACACACCACGCACACACACACACCATCACACCCACCACACACACCTTCACACCCACCTTGCACACACACACCATCACCCCCACCACGCACACACACACCATCACACACATACACCATCACACTCACCACGCAGACACACACACCATCACACCCACCACGCAGACACACACCATCACACACACCACACACACACACCATCATACCCACCACACACACACCATCACACCCACCATCACACCCACCACGCACACACACACCATCACACCCACCTTGCACACACACACCATCACACCATCACACCCACCACGCACACACACACCATCACACCCAGCAAACACACACACACCATTACACCCACCACGCACACACACCATTACACCCACCACGCACACACAACAACAACAACAACCGCCATTCACCACTAAGTGGCGGTGACGTCACCACGACGCTTGTGCCAGGCTATGTGCACCCTGAGGCCACGTAAAGTGTCGAACGCCCGCTGGCAGGAGGTCACGGGGCAGACCCAGGTGCCCACCACACACACACACCATCACACACACCACGCACACACACACCATCACACCCACCACGCACACACACACCATCACACCCACCATGCACACACACACCATCACACCGACCATCCCACTTCATTCACAATTAACCATCACCAACATTTACCAAAACAATTAATGCCTAACATCTCAGTCACTCTTAATTTAACACATTTGACTCTTCAACCACCCACACTTACCATCAACGTTCACCATCAACAGTGTCACTCACCATCAACAGTGTCACTCACCATCAACAGTGTCACTCACCATTACCACCTTGCAGTTTCAACACCCACAACAATAACATCATCACACATCATCATACACCATCACTCACCACACATCAGCACTCATTGCACATCTTCATAACACATCACTCATCACACATTATATCACTCATTACAGATCATCACGCATCAATATGGGTGAGGAAATGTAACGTGACATTTTATAATTTTCCGCAGCCTCCTGAGTCTCAACACAATTGGGGGGAATTCGCTTTTTATTGAAAAAAGAAATAGTTTTCTTTTCAGCCAAAACGGCATAGGTTATAGTACAGTAATACCTCTGTTACTTCGTGATCACAAACTTCGTTACCAGAGGTAATAACATGCGAGGCACAATAATAAAACATTGCTTCACATTGCTTCGTTTGAAGTGGCCTTTAATTTGGACTTGGTTAACCTCATGATCTGTTTTTTCCGCATGCTCTCCGCTTGCCGATCACATT